TTCCTGGCCCAGTCCCTCGCGGGAGATGGAAAACGCAGTACTTAAGGGTCCACACTCGCTTGGTTCAGTATATCGAACCTCTCATTTGTTATATTCCAGGAAACCCAATCCCGCCCGAACGGCAAACCCACGAAAAATTTCGCAATATACTTACGCGTCCTGCGTCTTCGTCCGGACTCCTGTGCACAGAATTTTATGGGATTTTACCGGTTTCTCCTTTGCTCATTATTCTAGAATTTAGGTTCGTCGGTAAGGTTGGGGTGAGCTGTTGGTCGCGGGGCCGCGAAATGTCGCGGGGCGCCTCCCCGGAGGACCAAAGCCCACCGCTCCTTATCCGAGTCACGGCACCAAGAAATTGTTATAAATTGGGACCACAACGGATCATAATCCAATTGAATTTTATTAATTATAGCAAGTAGAATATGAGCAAAGACAGCGCTAGACGACAGGGGAGTCTGTGCTCCGACAACTGCCGTACTGAACAGTTCTAACAGTCCCTTTTTATCAGTCCTCCAGTTCCGCATTCGTATCTTCAACGGAGTACTCTGCGCATACCCCAGTTGCTTGAGGCTGAAGGCTTGAAGTCCTCCTCGGTTACCTTTAGATATCCTTTTCCATATATGGTCTTCAACTTGCTGTGCAATAATTTTTAGAATTATTTTGCAAAAGCCCTTAGTAAGCGTCTTGCGGTTTGTAAGTAATTTTGGTGTCAACTTATGCAAGTAAAGCACTTAAGCAAAGCAATAGTTGCCCCCACCCATATGTCTGCCAGTTTTTTTAGAACATCTTGCAGATATTTCCTCAAAACTTGCAGATATTTCCTCAAAACTTGCAGATGTTTCCTCAAAACTTGCGCAAGCGGTGTCTGGTTTAATCTGCACAAGCGACCACGGTTATCTTTTCTTTTGTTGTCTAATCTTTACATCAGGCTTAGCATAAATCTTAATAAACAATACCATAGTCCCTAGTTTTTCACAATTCTCCTATGGGATACACGGTCAGAGGCCCAAAACATACCATAAACACCCCAAAAACACACTAAAACACCCAAAACCAAACTTATCCTTCTTCTCCTACAGGATACAGGTTCAGAAGCCAAAACAGCTCCAAAACCGCCCAAAACACCCAAAAAACACCCCCAAACTGAGACAAAGGGGGGGCACAAAGTGGAATATAGAAATCTTTAGAATCACTTTTAAGTAATGTTAAGTTTGATGGTTTTGTACCAGTAGCAATGGAAAATTACTGAGGTGCGTGACACAGAGAGAAAAAGATTCCATAGAGTGCAGCTGGAGAACACACTGAGAATTCTCACAAGAGAAATCCTTACAGTTGTGACACAGTTTAAGAAAAACAGTCCAGAAGAACAGGACACAGGATAAGGAGTATCTGGAACCGCAGGAGCCCAGGATGGGCTGCAGTTAAACCACCTGAGCAGTGGGAGGATGGGAGGATTGCTCCGTCTCTGGTGCTAACGAACCAATTAAGCTGGTGTGAGCATCTACTGCGCGTGCTTCAAGGGCTGCCAGAAGTGATGAAGACCGTTGGAGGAAGCAAACGACCCTCAGAGACCACCCCCACAGTTCTGTCCGCATGCGGGGAACTCTCTGGAAAAGGATGTCCATGGAGAGCCGTTATGGCTCCGGCCAGGAGGGGACTACAACTCCCATCATGCCACGCGGCACCCAGAGAGTCCTGTCCTAGAGTCGCCCAGCCTGGACAACAACTCCCATGATGCAGTGCGACACCCGTGCAGCACCATTAAGGCGCCGCCCGGCTTGGACTACAACTCCCGTCGTGCCGCGCGGCGCTCCCAGCGCGCCAATTTCGCCCATCATGGCGGAGCTGGAGCTCCCCTCCGATCCCGACCTGCGCAGGTTGGAGCCCGCGGGACCCCCCAGTGGGGGCTTTTGGAGTCCTGGGGGGGTTGGGGTGCTCCTGACCCCCTCTCTTTGTCTCCCCCCCACCTCCAGGCTGTGCACGGGGCCCTGTGCCCCCATCCGGGAGTACATCATGGGCCACGTGCGGCACCCGCGGTGAGGGGGGCACCCCAACATCTGGGGGGGAGGAACTGCAACATCTGGAGGGACCCCAAACCTCGGATCGGTCCCTAAAATACATGGCGGGGGGGGGGGGGGTGTTCCTATAGGAATGTGAAGATCAAAGGGAACCTGCTGTGGTATCCGCTGCACCCCAAAGTGGGGGGGGACACCCAAGCTCCTTGGGGAGCCTCCAAAACCCCTCAGGACCCCCCCCCCCAAACCCCTTTGCCTGTTAGGACACCCCCAAAATTCCATTGGGATCCCAACAACCCCCCAGCACCCACCAATTCCCCCTTGTGACCCCCTCCAACCCCTTTTCTTCTCTCAGATCCATGCACAGGAGCCCAAATTCCTTTAGGACCCCTCCAAATCCCATTGGGATCCCCAGGAACCCCCAGTTCCCTCCCATGATCCTCCCCGACCCCCCCCAACCCTTCCTTTAACCCCCCCCAGGTTTCCTCCTTAACTCGGGGCTCAGGTACCAGCACCTCAAGGAGATTCAGGTTTGGGGGGCGGGGTGGGGAGCGTTAGAGGGTTTTGGGGGGGCTCTGTGGGGTTTTGGGGGATCCCACAGGGACCAAAACACACCTCTGCACCCCAAAACCATCCCCCCTGCATCCGAAAACACCCCCTCTGCACTCCAAAACCATCCCCCCTGCACCTCAAAACAACCCCCTGCATCTCAAAACGCCACCCCCGCACCCCAAAACCATGCCCCCTGCACACCAAAACACAACCCCTGCACCCTAAAACCACCCCCATGCATCCCAGAAGCCCCACGGCACCCCAAAACCTCCCCCCTGCCCCCCAAAACAACCCCCTGCACCCCAAAAGCACCCACTGTGCACCCCAAATCTACCCCCACTGCACCCCAAAACAACCCCCTGCACCCCAAAACCATCCTATGGATTCCCCCATGCACCCAAAACCCTCTCAAGGACCCCCCCCGAATGCATCCTGCAGCCCGGTTTCCCCCCTTGCACCCCAAAACTGCCCTGGGCCCTCCCCCATGATCTTTTCCTCCCCACTCCTGAACCCCAGAACCCTTTAGGGACCCCCTCTATACTTTAAACCCCCCTGGGTTTCCTTCTGAAGTGGGTGCTGGGCTCATAGGGGTCCTTAAAGCCCCCCCCCACTCTCCCTAAACCCAGTACTGACACCTTTTGGGGTGCCCCCCCCCCAGCCTTCATGGTCCCTGCAGCCCTTTTGGGATCCCCAAAATGGGATCTGGACCCCTTTGGGCCCCCCAGACTCCCCTCAACGTTTGGCTTTGGGCCCCCCCCTTGCCACCAGGTTGATGCTGGAGGCCACGGGGCTCTCAGGGGCTCGGGGGGCCCAGATCCAGCAGGGCCCAGAGCTACGGGGCAGCCCCATGGACTCCCCAGAAACTGCCCTGGGGCCACTGAGGAGGCAGCTGCAGGAGGGGAAGCAGCGGCTGGTGGGTGCCAACGGGGGAATGTGGGGATTTGGGGGGGTCCTGATGGGCTTGGGGGGGTCTGGGAAGTGGAATTTGATGGTTATGGGGAGGGGTTGGGGTCCCTAAAGGGTCCCAGCGCCGCTTTTTGGGAGGGATGAGGGATATGTGGGGGTCCTGGAGGGGGATTTTGGGTTTATAGGGGATGACATGGGGGAGTTTGGGGCTTTAGGGGGAATTTTGGGGGTGCTTGGAGGGGGATCTGGGGGTTATGGATGGGTTTGGTGTTAAGGGAGAGGCTTGTGGGGAAATATGGGGCGATATTTAAGGTGTTTGGGGGTCTTGGGGGGTATTTGGGTCCCTCCCATGGCTTTGGGGTCCCTCATTTCCTTGTGTCCCCCCCTCCATCCCTTCCAGTCCCGTCGCTGGATCCAGCTCCGGGCTCTGGCCGCATCCAATGGGAAGCTCCAGGCGCAGCTGCGCCCCCTGCAGGCCCAGGTGAGCAAAGACGGGGAGATAGAGGGAGGGGCTGGGGGGCGTGGCCTCACCGATTTGGCCACGCCCCTTTCAGGCCCTAGGGGGAAGGGCGGGGGCTGCTGGAAGCGCTGAGCATGCTGGACTAAAAGGACACAAATTAAGTAGGCCCCACATTAATAACATGTAAATAAGGAAGTAACATGTAAATAAGGTCAGCCCTACATGAAGTGCGTGTGGATAAAGCAGGTCCTACGCTAATTGCAGGTAAGTAAGGGGGGGGTAACGATGGTGGGATGAGAAATGGGGAGGGATGGAGGGAGAGGGGGAGAAATGGCAGGAATGTGGGGAATGGGGGTGGGAAAAAGGGGGAGGGGGAATGGGGGGCATAAGGGGGGGAGGGGAGAAAATGGGTATGCGGTGGGGGAGGGGAAGAGGGGACAAATGAGGGGGAGGGGCGAGGAAAGGCCCCATATTCAGCCCCATGGGCCGTAGCCTGGCAACGCGCGGGAAGCGGTACGCGGAGACCCCGTTGCTAGGCAACAGAGGCAACAAACCCGGAAGTGCGGAGAGCATCGCGGAACGGGGATGGGGAAAGGCAGAAACACGTGGGGGAGAGGGGGCCTCGATTTCCTGTGAAATCTTTATTTATTGGTTAAGTTTCCTTTTTATACATTCTTAAGGTGACCCCTCCCGCCTCCCCTCCCCCCCCCCCCCCCCGCGCTATTTACATCGGTGTCAATAAGGCTTCAGATAGACCCCCCCCCATCCCCCCCTTTATCCTCCCCTCTCCCATCCGGGGTATAAAGAGGGGGGGAGGTGCCACCCCCCCACACCCCCGGGTGGGGGATGGGAGGTTGTGTCCATTGGGTACCCTCCCCCATGCCCCTCGTTTTGGGGTGCTGGGGGGGAGGTGAGGCCCATCGCCGCCCTCCCCCACAGACAGCTCATCAACAGGCACTTAATGATCCCCCCCCCCCACCTTCCCCACCCCCGTTTTTGGTTACATGAAGCCCCGAGGGAGGGGAGGGCTCTCCTTTGCACCGGTTACTGCAGGGCTCTCCCTCCTTAAAGAGCCCACGCTCACCGTGGGGGCCCCGTCACAATGGGCAAATCCACAGCGACCGCCACGGCTTTGGGATGGCGGCAGCATCGTGCCCATGGCCACTGGGCACCCAGGGGTGCTCCGGGAGTGGCTGCGGGGGGACCAGCCTCTGCCCAGCCGGCTCGGGGAGGTCCCTCACGGGCTGCTCTTCCTCAGTGCCTTTGGTCCGGAGGTGGAGCATGCGAGGGGTCACAGCTCAACGTGGGCCATGGAACGGCGTCACGGCCACCTACGAGGAGTGGAGAGGGACCGATGTTGGCACAGCAGAGAATCATGGAATCCCAGAGTGGGCTGGAAGGGACCTTAAAGCTCACCCAGCTCCAACCCCCAAAGGCACGGGCAGGGACACCTTCCACTAGAGCAGCTTGCTCCACGGCCCTGTGTCACTGTGCACTCCCAGGGCATCCTGGGGATACCCTAGAGAATCCCAGAGAATGCCTGCAGCACCTCCAGAGCACCCCATGGACCCAGTCAGAGCTCCTGCGTCACGATGACCTTGGGGACATGGAGACCACAGGGGTGGCTGATTCTGGAACTCCCCGTGTTCAGGTGTGTGAGGTCACAGAACCCCACGGAACCCTCCAGCAGAGGCACCGGGAGACGACAACTGCCCCACGGAACACAAGCTACCGGTGGAGGAGGCAAGAGCAGCTCCTCTGGTGGTTCCCGTCTTGGTGTCTCGGAGCCGGTGCCGCCTGTGGACACAGGAGCGTGGAAGGAGGTGGGTGGCGATGGCGATCTTGGGGTGCTGTAGGAGTTGCCAGAACACCTCAAGAGACTTCCCCAGAGTGGCTGCTTTGGACTCGGTGTGTGAGTTGGGCTGGCTGAGCCGGCAGCGGAGCGCTGCGGCTGCCGAGGGATGATCCTGGGATCTGCCCTCATTTCTTGTGGGGAGAGCAAGGGCCTGTGGGGATGGGCCAAGGGGGAACGATTTTAACGTGACAGAGAGGGGAGATTGAGATGAGATCTTAGAAGTTGTTCCCTGTGAGGGTGGTGGGACAGTGGCACAGGGTGCCCAGAGAAGCTGTGGCTGCCCCATGGCTGGCAGTGTTCAAGACGGAGCTGAAAATGCCCTGACTCTTTCCTTGGTACATGATTGAGTTGCAGGTTTTATTCCATTGTTGGCTAAATCTGAACTATTTATGGAAGTTTCTAGCCTATTTTAAGCTTTTCCTAGCTATTTCTTAACTGGTTCAGGCTGTTTCGAACCCTTTTTTCCCCAATTCTAAAACTTTTTGAACCATTTTGACCTTTTCCAGACGTTTTTTGTCCATTTCTTACTAATTTCTTGCCATTTCTAACCCATTTTTGCTCTTTCCTGACTCAGTTTGAGCCATTTTTGGCCGTTCCTAACCCAGTGTTGCCAATTTCTAACCCATTTTAAGTCTGGCTATTTCTAAAAGAATTATGGCCATATGTATCCTAATTTTGGCCATTTCTTACCAGTTTTAAGCTTTTTTTTGGCTATTCCTAGTCCATTCTTGCCTGCTTGTCCCCTGTTTGAAGCATTTTTTACTAATTCTAAACAATTGATGACCATTTCTATCTTATTTTTGCCCGTGTCTTACCAGTTTTAAGCCCTTTTTGGCAATTCCTAAAGAATTCATGGCCATTTCTAGCCTGGTTTCAGCTTTTCTTAGCTATTTCTTAACTGGCTTGAGCTATTTCTTGGCCCAATTCTAACTCTTTTTAAGCCATTATGGCCATTTCCAAACTGTTCTTGTCCTGTACTTACCAATTTCTTTCTACCCCTTTTTTTGGCCTTCCCTAACTTGGTTTAACCCATTTTTGGACCTTTCTGACCCACTTTAACTTTTTTTTGGCTATTTCTAAACAATGGGTGGTCATTCTCACCTTATTTTTGCCCATTTCTTACCTGGTTTATGCCATTTTTGGCTAATGTTTCACTTTTTTATGGGCATTTCTAGCCTGGTTTAAGCTTTTCTCACCTATTTCTAAACTGGCTATTTCTAACCCTTTTTTGCACAATACTGACTCTTTAAGGTCATTTTGGCCATTCCCAAACCATTTCTGTGCAGTTATTAGCAATTTTTTTTTCTGTTCCTAAGCTGTTTTTGCCCTTTCCTGACTTGGTTTAAACCATTTTTGGCTTTTTCTAACACATTTTAGGTCTTTTTTGGCTATTTCTAAACAATTGCTGGTCATTCTTATTTTTGCCCATTTCTTGCCAGTTTTAAGCCATTTTATGGAAATTTCTGACCTATTTTTGGAAGTTTCTAGCCTGGTTTAAGCTTTTCTTACCTATTTCTAATCCGGCTTGAGCTATATCTAATCCATTTTTGCGCAATACTGACTCTTTTTAAGTCATTTTGGCCATTCCCAAACCCTTTCTCAACATTTCTTACCAATTTCTTTCTATTTCTAACCTGGTTTTGCCCTTTCCTGACTTGGTTTAAACCATTTTTGGTTCTTTCTAACCCATTTTAAGTCTTTTTTGGCTATTTCTAAGCAATTCCTGGTCATTCTTGTCTTCTTTTTGGCCATTTCTTGCAGGTTTTATTCCATTTTTGGCTAAATCTGAACTATTTATGGAAGTTTCTAGCCTGGTTTAAGCTTTTCTTACCTGTTTCTGAACTGGCTTGAGCTATATCTAACCCTTTTTTTTGCACAATACTGACTCTTTTTAAGCCATTTTGGTCATTCTGAAACCACTTCTGTCAGGTTGTTACCAATTTCTTCCTATTTGTAACCTGGTTTTGCCCTTTCCTGACTTGGTTTAAACCATTTTTGGCCCTTTCTAATGCATTTTAAGTCTTTTTTTGGCTATTTCTAAACAATTGCTGGTCGTTCTTACCTTATTTTTGCCCATTTTTTGCAGGTTTTATTCTTTTTTTTGACTAAATCTGAACTATTTATGGAAGTTTCTAGCCTGGTTTAACCTTTTCCTTGCTATTTCTAAGCTGGATTGAGCTATATCTAACCATTTTCTTGCGCAATACTGACTCTTTTTAAGCCGTTTTGGCCATTCCCAAACCCTTTCTGTCCAGGTCTTAACCAATGTCTTTCTATTTCTAACCTGGTTTTGCCCTTTCTTCCCTTGGTTTAAACCATTTTTGGCCCCTTCTAACCCATTTTAAGTCTTTTTTGGGTATTTCTAAACAATTGCTGGTCATTCTTATCTTATTTTTGCCCATTTCTTACCAGTTTTATGCCATTTTTGACTAAGTCTGAACAGTTTCTTGCCATTTCTAGTTTGGTTTAGTCTTTTCGTAGCTATTTCTAAACTGGTTTAGACTAGTTCTGACCCTTTTTTGCCCAGTTCTATCTCCTTTTAAGTCATTTTGGCCATTTCCAAACCATTTCTGTCCATTTCTTACTAATTTCCTGTCATTTCTAACCCATTTTTGCCCTTTCCTGACTTGGTTTAAACCATTTTTGGCTTTTTCTAACCCATTTTTGAATCTTTTTTTGGCTATTTCTAAGCAACTGCTGGTCATTCTTGTCTTATTTTTGGCCATTTCTTGCAGGTTTTATTCCATTTTTGGCTAAATCTGAACTATTTATGGAAGTTTCTAGCCTTGTTTAAGTCTTTTTTGGCTATTTCTAAACAATTGCTGGTCATTCTTACCTTATTTTTGCCCATTTTTTGTAGGTTTTATTCCTTTTTTGGCTAAATCTGAACTATTTATGGAAGTTTCTAGCCTGGTTTAAGTCTTTTTTGGCTACTTCTAAACAATTGCTGGTCATTCTTACCTTATTTTTGCCCATTTTTTGTAGGTTTTATTCCTTTTTTGGCTAAATCTGAACTATTTATGGAAGTTTCTAGCCTGGTTTAAGCTTTTCTTACCTATTTCTAGACTGGCTTGAGCTATATCTAACCCTTTTTTTTTTGTGCAATACTGACTCTTTTTAAGCCCTTTTGGCCATTCCCAAACCCTTTCTGTCCAGTTCTTACCAATGTCTTTTCTGTTCCTAACTCAGATTTTGCCCTTTCCTGACTTGGTTTAAACCATTTTGGCTTTTTCTAACCCATTTTAAGTCTTTTTTGGCTACTTCTAAACAATTGCTGGTCATTCTTACCTTATTTTTGCCCATTTTTTGTAGGTTTTATTCCTTTTTTGGCTAAATCTGAACTATTTATGGAAGTTTCTAGCCTGGTTTAAGTCTTGTTTGGCTACTTCTAAACAATTGCTGGTCATTCTTACCTTATTTTTGCCCATTTTTTGTAGGTTTTATTTCTTTTTTGGCTAAATGTCAACTATTTATGGAAGTTTCTAGTCTGGTTTAAGCTTTTCTTACCTATTTCTAAACTGGCTTGAGCTATTTCTAACCCTTTTTTGCGCAATACTGCCTCTTTTTAAGCCATTTTGGCCATTTTCAAAGGGTTTTTCTCCATTTCTTACAAATTTCTTTCTATTTCTAACCTGTTTTGGCCCTTTCCTGACTTGGTTTAACCCAGTTTTGCTTCTTTATAACCCATTTAAAATCTTTTTTTGGCTATTTCTAAGCAATTGCTGGTCATTCTTATCTTATTTTTGCCCATTTCTTGCAGGTTTTATTCCATTTTTGGCAATTTCTGAACAATTTATGGAAGTTTCTAGCCTGGTTTAAGCTTTTCTTACCTATTTCTAAGCTGGCTTGAGCTATATCTAACCCTTTTTTTACACAATACTGACTCTTTTTAAGCCCTTTTGGCCATTCCCAAACGCTTTCTGTCCAGGTCTTACCAATGTCTTTCTATTTCTAACCTGGTTTTGCCCTTTCCTCCCTTGGTTTAAACCATTTTTGGCCCTTTCTAACCCTTTTTAAGTCTTTTTTGGCTATTTCTAAACAATTGCTGGTCATTCTTATCTTATTTTTGCCCATTTCTTACCAGTTTTAAGCCATTTTATGGCAAATTCTGAACTATTTATGGAAGTTTCTAGTTCGTTTAACCTTTTCCTAGCTATTTCTAAACTGGCTTGAGCTATTTCTAACCTTTTTTTGCGCAATACTGACTCTTTTAAAGTCATTTTGGCCATTCCCAAACCCTTTCTGTCCAGTTCTTACCAATTTTTTTTTCTGTTCCTAACACAGCTTTTGCCCTTTCCTGACTTGGTTTAAACCATTTTTGGCCCTTTCTAAACCATTTTAAGGCTTTTTTGTCTATTTCTAAGCAATTGCTGGTCATTCTTATCTGATTTTTGCCCATTTCTTGCCTGTTTTAAGCCATTTTATGGCAATTTCTGAACTATTCTGAA